AAGTAATGCTGTGGATCAAAAACAAATACTGTGTTGCTGTTGATGTAGACCTAAAGAAAGCTTCTGACACTACTGATCACAGCATTCTTCTTGATAAATTGAACAGATATGGTCTGAGTGGCTCAGCTTTGAAATGGGTATCGAGTTATTTAGAAAGTAGGAAACAATTTGTGCAAACTAACGATGTACGATCAACTTTTGAGACAATTACTTGTGGGGTCCCACAGGGTTGTGTGTTAGGGCCAACGTTGTTTCTTTTGTATGTCAATGATTTGGTTAATGTGTCTGATGTAATGAAATGTCACGTTTGCAGATGACACTACTTTTTTTTGTTTCAGGAAACAATTTAGAACATCTTCCAGCTTTGTTGCAATCAGATTTTGTAAAGGTACGATTGGTTTGAGTTTAATAAATTATCACTTCATTCGGATAAAACTAAAAATATGATGTGTTGTAAAAGAAAAAAATGGTTGATGTTTCATTTCAAATTTGCGGTGTTGAAATTAGCAAAGTTACGGAGGTGAAATTTTTGGGCGTTATTATTGATGAAAATTTAAATTATCTCACATAAGTTACATAAAAACTAAAATTGTGAAATCAATTGTTGTTTTATACAAGGTTAAGGGAGTATTTAATGATGAAACATTGCTTTTATTATATAACGCCATTATTGAACCTCATTTAACTTAATGCATTGAAGTTTGGGGAAAAGCATGTAAAACATTTACATATCCCGTTTTTGTTTTGCAGAAAGGAGCCGTGAGAATCTTGACAGGAAAGCGTTGTTGTCATCCATCTAATGTTTTGTTTAGTCTGTTGAGATTATTGAAGTTTTATGATCTGGTTAATTATAGAATTTTGTTGATGATGTATAAAGCTCATAACAATGATTTACCTTGTGAAAAACAATTTTATCTTACTAAGAGGAAAAGTGTTTATAATTTGAACGGATTTGAGACGTTTGTTTTACCAAAAATTAGAACAAGCTTGAAAGAGAGACGTACTTCAGTTCAGAGTATCAAATTATGGAACAGTTTAGTAAACGACCTCAAAACTACTGGTTCAATTTATTCATTTAGAAAAAGTGTCAAAACTTTATGTTTGATAAGTTATGGGCAGTCTATGTTTGAATAATTTACACTTGTTCCTGTTTTTTTTGTGTTGTTTTTGTTTTTTTCTCTCTCGACTGTTCATTGGATGAAATAATAGTTTTTATTTTATTTTATATATATTTTTTATTTCTTTGTTGATGTATATTTTGTTATTTTTATGGATATTGTTTTAATTGGGGCAGATGTAAGATTTTTTTCTTCTCTCTGCTCCTTTTCATTTAATGATATTGTGCTTTTTTTGTTTATTTTTAATGTTTGTTTTTGTTTTTTAAATGAAGTAAATATTTTAAAAAATTACAAGCAGTTTTACAAGTAAGTGATTGTTCATGACATCTTACAATCATTTAAAATTTTAAGTATTGGGTTTATATCCATCCATCCATCCATCCATCCATCCATCCATCCATCCATCTGCTTATTTGTGGTTGGCTCATAAAAAGAACAGGTCAAGGAGAGACTCTAAGGGTATCCCAATTGTATCAATGATCTTGTTCAGTTGAGAGCAGATGGATCAGTGCTTGTGTTTCACCTTAATTTTTTCTTCACCAAACTTCACCGAAACAGACTGGAGCAACACTCTTTTTATTGCAGATCTTGGCTCAATCTTGTCATCATTTCGGAACAAGACTTCCAGGTACTTGAACTGTTCCACTGAAGGCAAAGACTCAAAGTCAGACATAAGGTCTGATTATACTTTACACGATTTAAGACATCAAATTTCGCTGACATGATTGTGAGACAGTCTTTTGGAACAGACAATTCATACACAAGGAGAAACTAGGCAAAATGTTCTTGTTAGCCCTCTCATTGTACTCCCACTTCATAGATCACATGCAAGCAGAAACTGCACGGACAGCCCAGCTGGCAAAGATGGATGTTCATTTTCAGTTGATGGTGGAAAGAAAAGGTAGGAGGAAAATTCAGTATTTCTGTTGTTGACCAAGGAGAAATTTTACTTTAGACTTTAGTCACAAAGAGACCTCCACTGTTTTTGCATAAGTACAATATACATTTTGATATGTACATCTGGGAAGAGAAATACTAAGGGCTACAAACAATTTTGTTTTCGCAATGTATTTCTCCTTAGTATTTTCTTTTGATAGTCACCTTGGTTACTTGAGCCAGAGCTTTTTGCCAACACCTCGCTTCTTCACTTTTGTGATCAGTAATCAGTCTGCTTTGATGCATGGTTTTGTAACCTTGACTTTCAAGATAAAGTTTCACCTATCCATTGGAAAGGTCAAGACCAGATGTTAATTAACCAGGAGGGAAATGAACTAATGGGGGTTTTCGAGTGGCATTTTACAAGACATCTAATCCCATGGAAAGAACAGCCACAGTATCACATTTTTTTATTATTTGGTATACAGTTATTGCAGTCTTTGATTGGTAAACATAAAGGTGTTAAACATCCAAAGGTTTTGTTCAGAATTTTATATTTTAAAAAGTTTTTTTATAATTTTAATGTGTTGCCATTATTTCCTAAATATATTTTTACTAACGTGTGTGTGTGTGTGTGTGGGTGTGTGTGTGTGTGTGCGTGNACCTGCAGAACAAACACACACCTGCAGAACAAACACACACCTGCAGCACAAACACACCTGCAAACACACACCTGCAGACAAACACACACCTGCAGAACAAACTCAGTTTTAAACCATCTTATTGTTAATAATAAACGGCAGCAGCGCCCCCTGCTGTATGGAGGACTGCATCTACACTTTTTTATTTAATAAACATCTTTGATCTCTGAAACAAATGTTTTACTTTGACAAAGATCATTTCTTACAGCTTCTGTTCTTAATGTGACACAAATGTTTTCAGTTAAAATTTTTATATTTTAAGTATAAAATAATAAAAGTAGTTTCATGTCGTTACAAGATGCTTCTTGCTTCATCCTGGTGTCTCCAGACAAAAAGACAAGCGTGGTTTGTTTGAATAAAATCTAGCTTTGAAGTGAATTCATGATTAAATTAGTTGAAAGAGATTGGGCTGCGAGCTGCAAACTGCTCAACACTAATGTGAGCTTTAATTCAGCCTGATGGGATTTTACTGCCCACTAGAGAACCACATCCTGTCCTCTTAATGTCCTCTGATCCGTCTGAGGGGGACGGAGTGTGAAGGACACAGATTCAACCAATCAGCTCTCACATCATCGCTGTGTCACATTTAAGATAATTTGGCTCAAAAGGTGGAAATATTTTATGTTTTTTTTTAATTCATCAATGACTTCCTGCAAAATAAAACCCAGAGACAGATTCTCTCAGTTATACTTACAAACTGGACGTGTCCAGAGAGACAGAGGGAACAAGAAAACAAACTTTAGATTCAAACTAATTTAAATACAAAAAGATTAAACTCCTCAACATATTACTGTTAAACATCTGATGGGATTATTTATTCTTTGTCAATTTAATTATTGTTGTTTTACAGTTTGATTGTTGTTGTTTTCAGTTTAATTGTTGTTGTTTGGTTGTTTTTGTTTTTATCAGTTCCTTATTTTTAACAGGTTTGAAGCAGTTTGAGTTGAATCAGACAGAATCAGCAGCTTCTGTCTGCAGGTGTGTTTGTCGGGGGTCTGATGAGGTGTGTGTGTGTGTGTGTGTGTGTGTGTGTGTGTGTGTGTGTGTGTGTGTGTGTGTGTGTGTATGTATGTTTTAATTGGGGCAGATATTCTTTTCTTATCTCCGCTCCTTTTCATTTAATGATATTGTGCTTTTTTTGTTTATTTTTAATGTTTGTTTTTTGTTTAAATAAATTTTATAAAAAAAAGGGGACATTCCCACCATTATGAAGCCCCCCTCCCCCCCAGCCAGACTGAAATCCGGCTCTGATCCGAGCAGCTTACAGCTGTAATTAAATCATTAAATTCTCCTCTCCGCTCCACGGAGCCGAGCCAAATTGACTTCCACCCAGCTCATTTTGGATCCGAACACCAAATAATGATTTTCTGCCGTCTAATTACAAAGCTCAACATCTGATCAGAACCGCATCCAGCGGGGGAATTATCTGAGGGGCCCGGCATTAGACCTCATTACCCACTGGAGAGCAGAATTATGACACGCTGTAATTGGACCGGGACATTTATCAGCAGACGGCCCGGTCCACAGGTCCAACCAGCCGCCGTGACCTTTGACCTTTCATCAAAAATCAACGTTGGTCCAACTTTACCTGCAGACAGAAACCTCTTTCAGATTAAAGTTCACAATGTTCAAAACACTTTAAAGATTAAAATCAATAAAGACTTTTCAAAATAAAAGCATTTCAGCTCAGAGTTTAACAGAACTGTTGGTTCTGGACCCTGTCTGTCCTCCTGGTTTGTCTCGTGTCTCTGCAGCAGAACCAGGTTCTGGACCCTGTCTGTCCTCCTGTCAGTCAGAAAGCGTCCCGGCGAGCTCAGACGGAGTCCGGCCTTTAATCAGCGCTGCCTGCGGCTCTTCAGGAGCTCCTCTCCTGGTTCTCTGCAGGCCTGCTGAGTCCACCTTTACACCAGAACCTCCTCACTCCATGAGGGCAGGTTCTGACTGACAGCTGGGCCCGGTTCTGCTCTCCGATGGAGCCAGAGAATGTCACGGATGGAGCATCTGTTCATCCTGAGTTTGAGAAAAGAAACATCTAATAAAAAGATGAAAAACAGAAATCTGACTGAGGAGAGCAGGTCCAGAATCCACGGTTCTGCTAAACGTTCTTCAGGGGACAGAACCTCCAGGTGTGTCTCATTTACACAAACGGTTCTGGTCCGCCTTATTAAAGCAGATAACGAGTTCTGTGCTGCAGTCCACTGATGGAGGGATGTTAATGAAGGCAGGAGGAACTTTATCAACATTAAAAACCTTTTAATAAAATTCTGTTCTTTCTTCACAGGATCAAACAGACGTTTAGTGTCTCTCAGGTTAAAAACAAGATTTATTCACTTTCAGAAGAAAAGTTCAACTAAAACTCAGAGAAAATATTTTTTTCTGAGCTCAGGTTGTATTTCTGTTTGTTCTGTTGAACTGTTTGTTTGTTTTACTTCCTGTTTGTCATCAACCTCTACAGAAAGATGAGCAGCTGCAGATTTTCCCAGATGTTTGTTCTACAAGACATTTCAGACAGGTCAGTGATGTCATAAGTGTAGGTCCAACTATTTGTTGGTCTATGATGTCATAAGTATAGGTCCAACTATTTATTGGTCTATGATGTCATAAGTGTAGGTCCAACTATTTATTTGTCTATGATGTCATAAGTGTAGGTCCAACTATTTATTGGTCTACGATGTCATAAGTGTAGGTCCAACTATTTATTGGTCTATGATGTCATAAGTGTAGGTCCAACTATTTGTTGGTCTATGATGTCATAAGTGTAGGTCCAACTATTTGTTGGTCTATGATGTCATAAGTGTAGGTCCAACTATTTATTGGTCTACGATGTCATAAGCGTAGGTCCAACTATTTGTTGGTCTATGATGTCATAAGTGTAGGTTCAACTATTTGTTGGTCTATGATGTCATAAGCGTAGGTCCAACTATTTATTGGTCTATGATGTCATATGTGCAGGTCCAACGCATCATAAGTTGCTGACTGAGGCGGCGTCCCGAACTCCAGGTGAAGCTGTCCTTGGCTGCGAGAGCGAGACAAACGCAGAGACAGCAGACCGAAACGCTGCGTCCGGCGGGTCCGACAGAACCTCTCGTCTGTAAAAAATAACAAATAAACTGAATTAATTAATTAAATGATCAACAATAATAATTATCAAATCAGAACAGTTCTAAACACAAATATAGTCCAGAGTTTTCCCCACAGAGCCACAGTGGTGTGGTTTCCCTGTTTGACTTTAATTTTAGTTTAAAGTTGAAACTTCTAACTTTATATAAAATGAAAGTCTAAAAATATGAACCCTTTAATAAAAACATAGAGAATCTTTAACATTTAGCCCACAGACCATCCTAAAACCAGTTTTATTTGTCCAAACGACTGAAGCTGGTGATTTTCTCTGACCTGACTGAGAGTCGGGTCTGTTGAAGACGTCGGCTCCTCCGGTCCAGTACTGAACAGCCGTCTTGCCGTGATAATCTCTGATGTTGGTTTTAGCATCTGAAGAACAAACAAAATGTTACATTAATGTAAAACAGCTGATCCTGAACTCAACACAACGCTGACTCAGCAGTTGTTTTGGTGACCCCCTACACGCTGGGAATCAGGTCCACGATCAGGATGGAGACCTGGTCTGATTAGCAGCAGGATGAGGTTCCCGCCTTTTCCTGGGGGGGCGGGGTGAGGATGGGTGAGGGGGGTGGAGGGGAGGCGGGGGTCCGGACCGTCAGTCTGAGCCTCTGTTCTTGGCAGCAGCGATTTGCATCAGTAGCTTTTTCAGCTCAGAGCCTGTGAGGCGTGGCGGCGAAGAATCCCTCGCCGCCTGAACCTGAACCTCCGTTTGTGAATATCAAACTGAAACGTGCACTGAAAGGAAACGTGCACGCTCGCTGACTGACAGCAGACCAGTTTCAGGTCTGCACCGCAAAGAAAATGATAAAATATATTGAAAAACCTTCCGAACACCTCACACTGAGCTGCTTGTTTCTGCTGCTGCTTCTAACCCCAGCACAAGTCCCGTTTGGACCCTCAGGAGGTCCTGGACTCACGGTGGGAGGCGATCAGAGTCCGGACCACGTCCTGGTGTCCGTGGATGGAGGCCAGATGGAGCGCGGTGTAACCCTGATGATAAAAACAGAAACAAAAGTCAGGTTTTATCTCCTCATTTCATTTCTCTAACTGCTGTCAGAGAGCATCAACATGCAAAGCCCCGCCCCTTCTTCATTGTGATTGGTCAGTTAAACACAGCAGTGATGGTGGGTAAAACCCTGCAGCCGTCCTGCAGACACACACGTTTGAAGCAGTTCCCGCTCAGAGTGGCCTTAAAGGCTACACAAACAGAGCAGCGCCTCAGGTGAGAAAAACAATCATGTAAATTTTATAGAAACCGTCTTTTCTCAGGGACGAAAACGCTGCAGCAACAAACACCTGAAACTGAGGTTTTATTTCCTGTTTCTGCAAACACACAAAGTCTGAGACTTAAAAACATTAAGAAAGAAGAAGTTTTGATCATCTCCTGAACTTTTCCTCATCAAACGTTCACCGTCTGAACTGTCAGGTGAAGATTTGTTGAAGACGTTTTTGTGTCTCAGTTTGATCAGAAACAATCAGTGAATCCTGACTTACCCCCTTCAGAGCAGCGTGAGGTCAGACAAACACATGAAACATCAGAGGCTGAAACATCAGATGATTTCTGGAGACAAAAGTTCAGAAACTCACGTTCTGTCCACGGTTTCATGATGAAGATGATGAAGAGGAGGAGAGAATAAAGAACAATAATTAAATGTCAAAACATTCACTTTATGATCAAACTGAGTGGAAAAACAAACTCCAGTTGTTTGAAGCTTGTTCAGTTTGTCAGAACCTTCAGATGCTTTCTTCAGGTGAGGCTTCAGGTGATTTAGCCCCGCCCACTGAGGGGAGATCTATGACATTGTATGAGGGATTTATGACAGGACAGCCCCGGTAACTGGGAGGCCGGTGCAGGCAGATGACAAGGAGACTATTCATTGGTGTTAGCATTGGAGAGGCTAGCGACTAGCATGGATAAGCTGGTGTTAGCATTGGAGAGGCTAGCGACTAGCATGGATAAGCTGTCGTTAGCATTGGAGAGGCTAGCGACTAGTATGGATAAGCTGTCATTAGCATTGGGGAGGCTAGCGACTAGCATGGATGAACTGTCATTAGCAATGGAATGGCTAGCGACTAGCATGGATAAGCTGTCGTTAGCATTGGAGAGGCTAGCGACTAGCATGGATAAGCTGTCATTAGCATTGGAGAGGCTAGCGGCTAGCATGGATAAGCTGTCATTAGCATTGGAGAGGCTAGCGGCTAGCATGGATGAGCTGTCATTAGCATTGGAGAGGCTAGCGACTAGCATGGATGAGCAGTCATTAGCATGGGAGAGGCTAGCGACTAGCATGGATAAGCTGTCGTTAGCATTGGAGAGGCTAGCAACTAGCATGGATAAGTTGGTGTTAGCATTGGAGAGGCTAGCAACTAGCATGGATAAGCTGTCGTTAGCATTGGAGAGGCTAACGACTAGCATGGATAAGTTGTCGTTAGCATTGGAGAGGCTAGTGACTAGCATGGATGAGCTGTTATTAGCATTGGAGAGGCTAGCAACTAGCACGGATGAGACAAACACTAAATAAGAACACAAAACTAAACAACAAACACTCAGGATCCTGACAGTTCCCCTCCCCTAAGGGCCAGAAACAGAAACAGAACCCATCAGACTCTGGAGGTCTGATGGGGACCCAGGTGTTGCACAAAGACAAAGTTCAAACTAAAATCTGTCAGGAGAAGAAGGCCTGGGCAGAAAAACACAATGTGACATGAAACAAAACACAATGTGACGAAGAGTTCAGGTGATGGACACCTGCTCCTCCTTCCTTACTGATCTGATGTTGACATCGGCTCCAGAGCGAAGCATCATCTCCACGACCTCCTGATGGCCCTGCTTTGCTGCCCAGTGAAGAGCTGTCTGAAAGACACAAACACACACCTGCAGCACAAACACACACCTGCAGAACAAACACACACCTGCAAACACACACCTGCAGACAAACACACACCTGCAGAACAAACACACACCTGCAGCACAAACACACACCTGCAGCACAAACACACACCTGCAGAACAAACACACACCTGCAAACACACACCTGCAGACAAACACACACCTGCAGAACAAACACACACCTGCAGAACAAACACACACCTGCAGACAAACACACACCTGCAGCACAAACACACCTGCAGAACAAACACACACCTGCAAACACACACCTGCAGAACAAACACACACCTGCAGAACAAACACACACCTGCAGCACAAACACACCTGCAAACACACACCTGCAG